TATATTTTAGGAGCAATTAGGGATTCCTGCGGAAGGAACTTGCAATTTCCTGCTGCAGAAATCCCTAATCTGCCATTCAAGTTAATGATTGGGTGACTGCGGCTGCATTTGAAAGTGGCAGAATGCTGACATCGTATTTGCATACGATTCTGCCACTTTCAAATGCAGCCGCTATCATCCAATCATTAACTTGAATGGCAGATTAGGGATTCCTGCTTGTAAACGGTAGATTAGGAATTCCTGCTGCAGGAAATTGCAAGTTTCTGCCACAGCAATCCTTAATCGCACCAAAGGTATAGGTGTGAAGGAGGGCCAACGGTCGGTTCACACCAAAAAAACAGTGCGTTCCAGAGCGGCCATCCTCTGGAACGCACTGTATCGCATTTCGGCCAGCTTCCTGCATTCAGGGGTAGGAGGGGGCGGCTCAGTGCGTTGAAGTCAATGGCACCGCAGCCACGTCCCCCGTCTGGAGTGCGATCGCCCACACCAGAACGCGTGGCACATCAGTGTCTGCATTCCGGTCCAGTGCGATCTGCAAAAATAGTGCTTGCAGCATTTCTGCAGATTGCCCTGAACCAGAACGCAGGCACTGATGTGCCACGCGTTCTGTTGCGGGCGATCACACTGCAAGCCGAGGGCATGGCTGCGATGCCATTGACTTCAACGTACCACCACACGCCTTCTCTCCCCTGAACGCAGGAAGCCGGCTGGAATGCGATATAGTGCTAGAGGCTAACCGTACTGGAACGCACTGTTTATGGTGTGAATCGGCCCTTATTGTCTGTTCACAACAGATGCATTGGTACTGCACTGGCAGCCTTGCTAAGCACAGTCCCAACGCATAGACAAGGCAAAAAGTCTTGTGTCAATTAGGTCAGTTCACACCACAGATTTGCATGCAGTACTTTTTTTTAGTGCAGCATGTTGTAATGCAAACCAACGCATCGAAATGCTGCTGTGGTGAAAAAAACTGAATGAAAAGACACTTGTGACATTTCTATAAAGTCCTAAAAAAGGAAAGACTGAGATGCACCAAGATCGGCAGCATCAGCGCGGTTTCTTGCAGCGCACACCAGCAGCCGTGTGTTCAATGTGGCTGGCTGGGGTGAACAAGCCCTAACACAGGAGAAATTGATTAAGAAGTATAAACAAACTTTTACTTCCCATTTCAAATTTTCCTACGTATAAATGTACTTGTGTTTACATGCGTGTAGCTGCATAAAAACGTGCTAGATAGTTCTTGGGCACACATGTTTCTTGTTTGTGTAAACGCATCTAGACTGAACGCACCTAGACACTGCTGAATGCCTAGTCTGCAATCAGCCATAGAAAAGTATTACAAGCTTCCAGATGTATTTTGACACACATGTGCATGAAGCCTAAGGGCCTGTTCACACCATATGCAGTTGTGATGCAGTCCGTTCATTTCAACTGCGCAGTCAAAATACATCCCAATGCTTTCCTATGGGCTTTCTTGTGCCTAATTCACACCATTGCAGTCGATTCAACTGCAGTCAGAAAAAGTACTGCTTGTCCTACTTTAACTGCATCAAAATGTATCAAACGCGGTGCAAATACATTGCAAACAGATCGCAATGCAACTGCGCAGACACACGCAGTTGTGATGAACAAGGCCTAAGTGTGAACAAGGCCTAAGAGGGAATCATTTGTTCAAACCTGAACACAAATTATAATTAACAACACGATTTTCTCATCTGAAAAGTTTGTCTGATTGGGAGGAGACTACCATCTTTCTGAAGTAGAGGCTCCTTCTGAAGACGTGTTACTAGACATGCTACTATGTTGAATGATTCCTGCTGTGCGCAGTCACTGCAATCAGTAACCGACCATGATATGTCATTATACATTCCATGCCTCTATGTATTTAAACATAAGGATTTCATAGAAATTATTCATCCTTAAGTCATCTGTGGCTGACTATGGTGTTCAAGCTAGTGCACAGCAAAAAACACCCCAACTGGGACAAGCAGTGGGGGACAGTGGAGAACTTGACAGGCATGCCACCACTTGCAAAGCATTAGTGATCTGTCAAGCAAGCTTTAATACTGAAACTCCGGGATAGGCAAATAATATCTAAATATAAAAGAGTCATGTGTATTCTTACTTGAATCCTGGTTTGCTTTGTGTATTTCTTCCAGATCTGTGCAGTAATGCAGTGTGAAGCTTTACCTCTATGCAGGAGCTTCCTGTAAAGGTGCCCATACATTGCACGATTCTCGTACAAGAATCGCGGGAAATCCCGCGATCGTACGAGAATCATGCAGTGTATGGAAGGCGTGCGACCGTTTCTACTGTGCGGTCGCACGTCTTCCGTCGAACCAGCAGGCTAGAAACCCCGCCGGGAATCGTACGATTCTCGGCGGGTTAGTGGCCTGCTGGTTCCACAACTGCCATACAGGCAGGAGTGCGCACGCGCACACAGCCCGTTTGCAGTCATCGTAAGGCCGTCCCTCATTGCAGTCATCGTAAGCCCGCCCCTCAGCGGGGCGGGCTTGCGATGATCGCAAGTACGATCTGCCTGTCCAAGATGGGAAGATCGTACGTTTTTTAAAGTACTTTACAACCCTCGCAAGACAAAAGTCTTGCGAGGGTTGTAAAGTGTATGGCCACCTTAATAAAGACCGATCACTGCCGCTCTCTCTCCTTGTGCAGGGTGACTGATCTTGTCTCCACCCCCCTCTTGTAGTGGGTGGGTCCCCTCAGCTCTGCTCTCTGTACAGGCTATGCAGAGCACAGTGATGATGACGTCATCACTACTTGTACAAGGAGATATCTGGGTTTGCTAAGGCATTTGGTGCACACAAAGTGGATTTTATATCCTTTGTGACAATTGTGAAATATATTTAAAGTGATACTAAACTCGGAAGTTAAATCTTAAAAATGCATTTTTTACTAATAACAAAAATGTATCTTATTTGTGTATCACTCGGCTGTAGATCCTCAAATCCTCTCTGAATTTGTGCTGACACTGTCCTTCCTTCTGGAGGGTGGCTACTTTTGTTCCCCATGGTCCCTGTGTGTGTTGTAAAGTAGTCACCGCTCAAAATTTGCTTCCGTGATGGACTACAATCTCAATACAAATTAGTGGACAAAATGTGAGATTGTAGTCTATTACAGGAGCGAGCTTGTAGTGGTGACTACTTTACAACACACACAGGGACCATGAGGAACAAAAGTAACCACCCTTCAGAAGGAAGGACAGTGTCAGCACCAATTCAGAGATGATTTGAGGATCTACAGCCGAGTGATACACAAATAAGATACATTTTTGTTATCAGTTAAAAATGCATTTTTGAGATTTAACTTCCGAGTTTAGTGTCACTTAAGATGAAAGTTTTGTGTCTGTTCAGCTTTAATGCTGGTTTGTTTGATGAAAAATAAAAGGTTGAAGACGCTTTAAACTAGAGCAAACACTCTGATAACAGTGCACAATAGATTACTAATATAAGTGATCTTGTGTTGCATAGGTGAATAGAGGAGACAGCATCAGGTCTCCACAAACTGATTAAGCCTCCTGATGAAATTAATTAATAAAAATAAGTTAAATTGAAAACATACCTCCCCCACAATTACATGTCCTACAATACGATTCAAAAATGCCTTTGAACTAATTCCTATATTGTGCAAGCCCAACTTGGTCTGGTCTTAAAAAAAATATGTCACTTTTCAGAT